CGCCCAAGGAGGTAGGCGTGTCTTGATGCCTTGTGGGCCCCTCATGGCTCCGTCTGACCTAATTCCACCTCTATAAATTTTCTAAAATCTAGAAACCAACAGAGAGCCACCCAAAATGCTTTTTCCGTGGCCACAAGTCTCTGTTCTTCCGTGATCCCATCTAGAGGACCTTTTCGGTACTCTGTCGGAGGGGGAATCGATCACGGAAGGCTTCTACATCATCCTTGTTGCCCTTCCGATGATGTGTGAGTAGTTCACCATAGACCTATGGGTCCATAGCTAGTAGTTGGATGGCTTCTTCTCTCTCTTTTATCTTCAATACAAAGTTCTCCTCGATGTTCTTAGGGTTCTATTTGATGTAATCTTCTTTTGCGGTGTGTTTGTTGGGATCCGACGAATTGTGGGTTTATGACCAGATTATTCATGATAAATATTTGAGTATTTTCTGAATTATTTTATGCATCATTGTTATAACTTTCTATTTCTCTCTAATCTATCCGTTTGGTTTGGCCAACTAGATTGATTTATCTTGCAATGGGAGAGGTGCCTTGTAATGGGTTCAATCTTGTGGTGTGCTATATCCCAGTGACAATATAGGGGACAAGACACGTATTTGTATTGTTGCCATTAAGGGGAAAACGATGGAGCTTATTCATATTGGTTGGATTTACTTTGTCTACATCATGTCATCTTGTTTAAGGCGTTACTCCGTTTTATACTTAATAGTCTATATGCAAGCTGGATAGCGGTCGATGGGTGGAATAATAGTAGTAGATGTAGGCGGGAGTTGGTCTACTTATCTCGGACGTGATGCCTATATTCATAATCATTGCCTTGAATATCGTCATAACTGTGCGTTTTCTTATCAATTGTCCAACAGTAATGTGTTCACCCATCATATGCTTTGTGTTCAAGAGAGAAGCCTCTAGTGAAAACTATGGCCCTCGGGTCTACTTTTACCATATATATAATCCAAAAATACCTTGCTACAATTTTATTACTGTTGTTTTATTTTGTATTTTATTTTATCTATCTACCACTATAAGATCTGATCCTTGCAAATAACCGCCAAGGGGATTGATAACCCCCTTGATCACGTTGGGTGCAAGTATTTGCTTTTGTGTGTGTAGGTGTTGTTAATGAGATTCTGCATGGTTCTCCTACTGGATTGATAACCTTGGTTCTTAACTAAGGAAAATACTTATCTCTATTGTACTGCATCATCCTCTCCTCTTCGAGAAATCCCAACACAGCTCACAAGTAGCACCGCGTGTGTTTGAAATCCGACCATTGTACACGTGTCGGTTATCCACTGACCTAGGGTCATTTCGGACATATCATGTCGGGTTGCCTCCTGGCTATAAATGCCCACCCCCTCCACCATAAGTTGGTGGTTGCTCCGAGTTTGTGCACGACTTTTGTCGTTTGAGACCAACCCACCTCTGAAGCCTTTGAGAGAGAATCCTTGCGAGGACATAACCTAAAACACCCAGAGCCCAAAGTTTTTTGAGCATCATTGAAGTCGTTCTGTTCCGCGTGAACTGAAGACTTGTTACACTTGAAGACTGTGATCTTCCAATCGGTTAGGCGTTGCATTCTGAGCATCCAAGAGTCATTGTGTATTGCCGGTGAACGAAGTCTGTGAAGGTTTGTAAGTCTACCTTGAAGACTTGCCTAAGTGATTGGGAGAGATCTGTGGGTGTTAGCTCAAGGGGAATAAGGTGAAGACGTGGTCTTCTGAGTTCAGTCTCAACCTCTCTAACCAGACGTACAGTTGTCACAGCAACTGGAACTGGTCTAATAAATCATTGGTCTTCACCGAGCTACTGGTTCTACCACCTCACTCTTTTACTTATTGTTTAGCTTCGTGAAGTCATTGCATGCTCGTTTTTTTGAAGACATGGTGTGAATACATTCCCTTTGATTACATCTTTGTCTTCACACAATCTTCCTAAACTACTCTGTTCTACATAGTTGTTGTTTGTCTTCCATATCATTGTGTTGTTATTAGACCTTCTAGCATGCCTAGTGCAATTTATCTTTTGATGTATCATGTTTAGTTATTGCTTCGCTTCTGCATCTTCGAAGACATTGTCTGTCTTAAAGACATTCATAAAAAAAATAAGTATTCACCCCCTCCCTCTAGTCGATAACTAGCACTTTCAATGTCGTATCAAATATGCCAACACCACCACTATTGGAAAAATATAGTGTTGGCGCTGATTCAAAATGGCGTGCCGCCAAGTAGAGTTGTGGCCAACCATTTCTCCACTAGAGCAAGTTGCAATGTATTTGGGACTCCGAGCTGCAGCCTGATGATCACGCCTGCGGGAACGGGGATGGAACAAGACGTCTCAATGTCCATCATGGTTTGTTCACGAGAACTATATATCGCTTACCTTCTGCCTAGTTGAAGGTTTTTAGCCGCCCGTACAGTACTGGACCGGCCCATTTTTTAGCACTTGTCCATGCGCTGGTTGTGTGTTTGAATGTGATTATCTTTGTTTTTCCATTTCTTTTTGTTTATTTTCAATTTCCTTATTTCTTCTATGTTTTTTTGTTTTTCTTTGTTTTTTTATCACTCACTTCGTTTCTTTATCGATTTTCATTGGGTTGTTTCTTTTCTCAGATTTTCTTCTATGTCTTTCTTGGTTTTCACTGTTTCTTTTCTTTTCTTCCTTTTTCTTCAGTTCCTTCTTGTTTCTTGGTTTCATCCGTTTCCTTCCTTTTTCTTTATTTATTTCTTGGTTTTCACTGTTTCTATTCTTTTTGCAATGGTTTTCTTCTTCTCCTTTTCTTTCCCCATTGGTTTCCTTTGTTTCTTTCACTTTATGTTTGTTTTTCTCTTGTTCATATGAATAAATGTTGATCATTTATTTAGAAATGTCAAACGTGTATAAACAAATATTTCTGATGTATACAAAAAATGTAGATCGTATATCAAATAAGTGTAGACATAAAAAATATTTCAAAAAAGTTAATATTGTATATAGAAGTTGATAAACCTGTATATAAAATGTTGCTGATGTTATGAAAAATGTACATTGTGTGTGAAAAAATGTTTATTGTCGCTAAAGAGATTTTAACACATGATCAACATTTTTTATACACGTTTAAGATTTTATAATGCATGATCAACATTTTTTCATACCCATTTAACATTTTATTAAATACATGGACGAAAAAATTCATCCACATTGTATATTATGTGTATACATGAAAAACATTTTTTCTATACACATTTAACATTTTTCAAATGATTGAATAACATTTTTTAAAATAGTTGATTAACATTGTTCAAATGTATGACCAATTTTTTCATACAGTTTGTATATATTTTTCGTATAGATGAGAAACATTTCTTCTATACACATTTAACATTTTTAAAATGCTTGATTACCATTTTTTTAAAATACTTGGTTAATATTTTTCAAATGCATTATCAACTTTTTCATGCACATTGTAAAAAATTTGTATATACTTTTTGTATACATGTGAAACATTTTTCTATATACATTTAACATTTTTAAGTGCTTGATTAATATTTTTTTAAATATTTGGAAGTATAGACCAAATAAAAAAAAGCAAGAAAAAATACAAAAGGCATGAATAAAAACAGAATTGAAAACAAGCGTGTGGCCTCCCGCGCCCTCATCCAGGCGAGGCTACACTACGTCTCTCTATAAGCGAGACATAGGCGCACCCGATTTGTTGGCTCTCATCGTGGATCTCGGTTCTCAGGCTGCAGGCGATGATCCTATTGAAATTTGGTAGTTAATTAACATGTTCTCAAAATTATATGCAACTACTAGGCAGTAATGTAACTCTTGGTTAGCGACTGCTACAGTTTTTAGTTTCGATGTGAGAAGGAAGAAATTAGGATCTCGAAGGGTCGCTAGCAACATCGCCTTGGGCCGTTGGCTGGTTGGCCACTGCGTTTGCTCATCCCCTGTTCTGCTAGCCTGCTGCGCAGGCTGAACAGTGGTCATTCCATTAATTGCTCGTCTACGCCCCACGATTTACGCATCCGATTCATCAAAGACTCAAAGTACATCATCAGTGGACGAGCCAACAAGTTGATCCGTGCAAAAAGCTAAATAACAGAGCTACGACATGGTTACGAGCAAGAGAAAGCCGAAAAGGGAACAGAGCTACGACATGTCTACTTACCAGAAGTGGTAACGTTTCCAACGGGCCGGGCAGGACCGCATGAGTAGATCCAATTTCAGGCTGGATGGTCCATGGAAGTAGATGTGGAATCAATGTATGATGTGCTCCCGTTTATGAATAAGGATTTGGGCTTATCTCAGACAAAAAAAAATGAATGGGGATTATTTGGGCAACACGACAACGTATCACCTCTGATTAACGCTCCTATCCATGATCCTCCTGCCCATCTTGCCTCATTGATGCGACCAACGACGAGACAAGACAGTTTGGTATGACGAATGGAGGCTGATCTCTTGGTTCTGGGTGCTCCAAAGTTTGCTGGATCAAGTGACTCGGACGCGCACAGAATTTGGCATCTATGCATACTCAACCTACCGCTGTGTCAATATTTTTTATTCAGTAATAGAAGGTGCAATAGCAAATTGTAAGATAATCAGGATATGCCGTTATACTCTTGCACAAATTATCAGACTTTCGGGTAATGTTTGCACCAGGTAATGTTTAAACCAGATTATAAATGCTCATAGATCTCTCCTGATAAAATTACGACTCTCCAGTCCAACCATAAATTCAACCAGGTTTTCAAAAGGCAGATTTTAACATCAACAGACATGAATTGCTACCATCTAGTCAGCTAGCGCTATAACAACTGAACGAATCTCAGGTCTACTTCTCATTTAAGCAAAGCTCAGATGGAAGCTCTGAATTCCAGATGTACACACAACACAACTCCAACGGTAGGCTTACAGGCAGCATGATTTGTTCAAAGAGCAGCATCCGCTGCACTATTTCTCCAGGCTCGCAGCCCCACGGCCGGGAGACACTTCCCGTTATGCTGGTCTATTACCCATGCCACCACTTGGATGATTCATCGAGTCCATAGCAGTGCGTTGCGCGGTCGCAGGACGCTGTCTGAGGGAGGCGCCTGTTGATGCTCCGGGGGCTGAAACAGGTGCAGGAATGTGAAAACTGCGCTGGTCTGCCGACCGACTAGGCCCTGCCATGGTTTCCTGGGCAGCACCTGATACATGAAAGAATACATCAGCAAGAGTTGACAGTAAATATGCTTTTCGACGTACCTCCTAGGAGGATTGTAGCATAAACCCTATCTTTTCAATACAAAGAAACGCAAAAATCTCTTTGCGTTTTCTCGAAAAAAGAAAAAAAAACAAGTATGAGCAAAACAATACTCCCTCTTCCCAAAATGTAAGGCACAGTTGACTTTTCACGGTCTTCCATGCACTACTTTGACCACTAATATATACTGTACCAAAATAGATGGATTATATATGAATGTAATTGTTATATTTATCTTGCAATGTACTCCCTCTGTAAAGAAATATATTTCTTTACGGAGGGAGTACTGTACTCATTTTATGGACATATTATACGCGAGAATCATAGTCAAAATTGTATAGGTATACTAGACTAGTAGACTTCTAACTTATTACTCCCTCCGTCCCATAATCTAAGACGCTTTTTGACATTAGAGTAGTGTCAAAAAACGTCTTGTATTATGGGACGGAGGGAGTAGATTATTAGATGTTTTTTTTTTGCTATGCAGTCTATCTTATTTATTATCAGTCAAATGCAGAAATATTTAACTACGACCTACAAAGTAAGAGTAATGGATCAATCAAAATCGTTGAATATCGAAATATATGGAGTAAAAGCTAAAGCAATGCATGCAGCTAAATAAGGCATTTCTGGGTGACATGATTGATACTAGAGGGAATAGAGAATAAGGCAACATACATGCATTGACATTTTTCTGAAACATTGTTATCACATTTTTTTTTACAGGAACACGAGAGAAAACACTTCTTTTTTCAATAGATAGGAAACCCAAACAAGGTCCGTTGCAAGCGACAAATACAACTACAGAGCCATCACTCTCACAATACCTACAGTTTTCCACGCCCCCACATCGCTAGGATGGAAGACAAAGAACAGTCATAGTCTTGACTTAGACTCAGAACAAAAGAGCCGGGCATTTCTTTCCAGCCAAAGGCTGCGCAAGACAGGGAGGACCAAGCCGTTTCCCGAGCTTCTAGGACAACGCCAGCCTAGGCCAGCAGTTGATAAGGCAGTCTGAGGTAGATGGGTAAAGCTCGCACGCGCCCGGGCACAAATAGACTGGAACCAAACTCAGGGCCGGCCCTAGGCCATGGCAAAAGGTGAGCTGGCCTAAGGCCCATCTAATAAGGGCCCAAAGCCCAATACATCTACATATCAGAATAAATTACAAAAAAGTGTGATTTGCAGAACATAATGTCAACACTATTACGGGGTGTACATTCCCCGCGCGGGCGCTTCACCACGTTGTATTTATCCAATAGTTGCTTATGGTAGAGCACATGTATCTTATAATCATCATTTGCATCATATAATCATGTGTATTAAGACTTTATTTGCTAATTAAAATTACAGTTTTTATGCTTATGCCTTCATATTTTCATGCTATGAGATATATACCGGTAGAAGTATTCATATTACTCTGTCAATTGTACCTCACTCGCACTAAGGTCTACATGATGCTAGGGCTGGCCCTGACCAAACTTGGTGCCAGAGCAACATTGGATGAGCGGGTGATACAACAACAACTCCACACACCGAGAGCACAAAGGGCACATGTCATTATCAGCAAGGCCATGGCGCTTCCTCCGCTCCACAGCTTTCCAGGTAAAGAACTTGAACTTGAGAGGAGCGCAGGCACGCCAAATGAGCTCATGAAGTGGCCATAGTTCACGCGGTAAGCCAAAAGGACCGAGAAGCTGGCTCCAGCTCCCATGCCCGGCAGAAATGATCGGGCATACCAGGCGCAAGCTGGACCAGGTCAGCCACACGGGCAAGCAAGAGCATCGGGGCGATGGCCAGACTAGACAACCCTCCAACGTTATCATCAATCCAGCTGTTGTTGAGGAGTGCCTGAGCTAGCGTCCTAGAATCCATGATCTTGAGGGGAATGAACTCCAACAGATCCGGCGCGATGGATTTGCACAGAGTCCCTCTCAATCCATCTGTCGGTCCAGAAAAGCCAGTTTGCGCCATTCCCAATCTGCACCTTGACCAAGGCATAGAACAGGGTTTGATCTGAGCATGTCAAGCTAAGATTTTCCCACGGCTTGTCCAGAGCCACTTTGTCAAACCAAAGCCAACGCATTTTCATCATCTCGTGCACAATGGAAAAATTCCAAAGATCCAGGCCACCCAAGTGCTTCGGTAAACAAACCAGGCAAAACCCACCGGACGACGAGTCCTTGACGCACCAAAAAAAATCTACAAATCTTTTCCAGGCAAACATTCATTTACTTCGCAAGGGAGAGTCCATCATAATGTAGCGCCTGCACAAGAAACAAGGATCAAGTGCCCAGCGTCCGCCATAAGATTTCCTTTCCAGGCTGAGATCCTTTTGGCCAGCTTGTCAATATAAGGCTGGAGTTGAGCTTTGGGTTAGTTTTTCATGCGACAGCGGCAGACAAAGGTATAGGCACGGAAATTCCACAACAACACACGGCAGAAACAAGGCAAACCCCAGATCACTGCCCTGACAACGAATCAAGGTGGCCACGCTTTTTTGGAAATTAATCTGAAGACCAGACGCATCCACAAAGATCTCCATAATCAGCAAGGCAGTTTGGATCTCCTGCTTCTCCACAAGGCCAAATGATGAGAGCAACATCATCCGCGAACAGGAAAGCCTATGTCGGATCCCCAAGTGCACCATGGGGCTCAAGAGCCCTGAATCATCCACGGCATTGAACAAAGCCCAAGGATGTTCATAATGATCACGAAGAGCAACGGCAAAAGAGGATCGCCTTGCCGCAACCCTTTACGATGCCAAACCCTAGCAAAGGGGTGCCCATTAACAAGGATCTTGGAGCTCCAAGAAGCAAGGATCAAGGTCACCCAAGAACACCATTACTTGCCAAATCCATGCACCCACAGAACTTCCAACAAGGTCAATTGACAGAACGCAGGGGAAGTCGGCGGCATGTGCCGGCGTCCAGGGCGACCGGGTGCGGTATTGTAATGGTGTCACGGGGAGGAGCGCCCGTAGTCAGGCCCCGGGGATGTAGCCATATCGGTGAACCTCGTTAAAAAATCTCGGTGTCGTGCTCGTGTGATTGCTTGGTCCTCGGATGATCAACGGTATATGCCTCGGATTTATTCTAACAAGTGGTATCATGAGCAAGGTTACGAGGAGGATGTTGTGTGTTGATCTAGAGGAAGAAGCGGAAGAATTCGCCAAATCGATGGTCGGGTGCACCGATCGGAAAATCGATGGTGTCGGCGAGTTGCTACGTTGTTTAGCAGTCAAGAGGAATCGTTCGTACGGAAGCTGTTTGAGGCGGATCTCGCTGAAATTGTGCGGCAGTAGGAGTCCTTGGCTTGTCCGAGTCGACGAGTTCGGTTGCGTGTGGCCAAGGTTGCTCGTGGGCAACGGCCTAGGACGTGGCAGGCTGGCCCAATGGGGCTGGTAATGCGTTCTTTGGAGGCGAGGCCCTTGTGCAGCCATGGTGGATTGGAGTGGCCGATGCAGGGTAGCTGCTTGCACTATGGAGTCTGGGACAAAGGATACGAACGGAGCACGAGATTGGTTTGTTGAAAAAAAAAGGAGCGGCCAGGGTCACGTGTGTGTACAAGAGCAGTCTGGTTGGATCAAGTTTGATCTTGTTCTGCTAAAGTGCACGAAGAAGCTACAACAACAAATAGAGACAAGAAAAATTGTGCAGGTTGCATGAAAGTTTTTCTAGGTCGATTTGCTGAAAAGGCTTGGAACACGTGGACAGGCTATGGAGGCGCGCGGACAAGCGTGTCATGAGGATCATGTTTAACAGGGCGTCGAGTAATGCATGGTATGTGTTGGAAACACGATGCAGGGTGAAACATGGTTGCGGCCGGACAAGTTCGGCTAGGTCGGACTAGTCAGTCTGACGGATCGGCGCAAGTCGGCTGGTACAGAAGACGGTGATGGGATCGGCAAAGACGACATAGGAGCGTGATGCTGATGGTGACCGACTTCTGGGCGTGGAAACACGTGGCGCAGGCCCGAGGGCTTGTGTGACTTCGACAAGACTATGGCGTGGGGTTGATTCAAGGTGGTGTACACACGGAGCTTGAAGTCGACGGGACGCAAGGGTGGACTGATCATCTACCATGGAGTCATGTTGAAGGTGGAGCTGGAGTCTAGAAGACTTCACTTGGTGCTGGATTGAGGGGCTACGGTGTAAGGATCCAGGGAATCGAAGCCTATTCAGCAAGGGGGGAAAAGCGAATGACACTTAGTTCAGACTGGAGCCCAGTGGTCTGATGGAAGCGTGAAACTCATCATTAGTCGGTGATGATCGGTGGTACTCTGCAGTGGGGGTTGAGTGGTGTGGTTTTGCGACCCTTGAGACTCGACCAGGACGGCGGAGGCTCGACGCAGTAATAGTGGCGAGGCGTGCAGTATGCACGGGACATGGAGACGGCCAGGGCTCTGGTGGCCATACATGTGGTGAGACAACTGCGAATTTGACTTGGGATGACTACAAGCAACGGTGAAATTCTTTCAAGTTTCAGACTGGCGGTCAAGAAAGGAGCGGTGATGTTGAGTTCAGGTAACTCTTATGTGTGACACCCAGTATGTGAGTTGTTCACTTTCACGTAGGTCAGTGATCAGTGTGTGATGGCGTTGGACTGATACTCTGGAAGTTGGGAGCGCAAACTAGAGTAATGTGGAACTTAATTTTCGCTCGAGTGTTGACTGTGGTCAAGAAAAGAAGGGACTACAAGTTGCAGGTGGAGTCATATGGAGTCTTTGGAGTAGCAGCAGAACACACGGGATGAGCTCAAGTCCAATGTACATGGAAGTTTGACGCATGGACAAATTCAATGTGGTGGAGAATATTCGCCAAGGTGGAGTTTGTTAGAGTTGTGTCGAATATAGTGTACAAGGTAGGTTACAGTTGGACTCTGAGTAGTATTGTGTTTAGATAGGATATGGAGTCGTGTCCTAATAGGACACTTGTATCCTAGGCCTCTCTTATATAGCGAGGGTAGACACACGACATAACCTATGCCAACATAATAGCACCGAAACGCAGGGGAAGCCGGCGGCATGTGCCGGCGTCCAGGGCGACCGGGTGCGGTATTGTAATGGTGTCACGGGGAGGAGCGCCCGTAGTCAGGCCCCGGGGATGTAGCCATATCGGTGAACCTCGTTAAAAAATCTCGGTGTCGTGCTCGTGTGATTGCTTGGTCCTCGGATGATCAACGGTATATGCCTCGGATTTATTCTAACAACCATGCCGCAAGGAAAGGGTGCATATATTAACGAAACCCTTTGCTATTACCAAATTTTTTACACCTTATCAGACACAAATGTAAAACCAGATATTAAGGGCATCTGGAATGGCTAGTATATACAGCTATGCATAAATTTATCAAATTATAAGATATCAAAGACTATCTAAATTTCTAAGATGGGCTCGAATTTGGTTTGAGACAATAAACTAGCCAAGTGGAAGATTGATTTCATGTTCCACGGTAGTTTCAAGCTGATTCTAAGCAAAGCCAGGCTGGAATCCCCTCAAATGTTTTTTTTTGTACCCAAGCGATGCAGACCAAAGGGCAAACCACAAGTGGCAAGCCATATACAAACTTCACCAGAAACTTCAGCTTGAAAGGAAAAGAAGTGACAAAAAGTAAGAATTTGTTCAGCGCAATGAGGGAAATGTTGGATTTTGCCACTTCCAAGAATGGCAGTCCGACCCATGTCTCATTAATATTTGGGTCATAGGGAAAAGGTCACTGGGACATGGGGTAACAGGTCGAATTCCCAGTCCCTGGAGTGGAAAATATCCAAATTTCCAATAATAAGAACCTTGCACAAGACCACAAGGGCACGTGGTTATACATAGTACTCCCTCCGTCTGGGTTTATTAGACCCAGCGGCAAAAACACTAGGACCAAGGCAGGACAATTACTCCCATAACATTTTGGTGATCTGTGTCTGATTAAAGTGGAAGGGCCTTTCTCCTTCCATAATTAGCTACAATAGTTAATGTGGAGTTGTTCATGGGCGTGCATGCGTTGGCTACTAATTTCTCTCCTTTTATTTATTCAACAACCTAATTAATCACCTCGAGTCACGCATAAACAGAAGAAAGATCGAGGAAGAAAACTGCAATTTTCATGCGGAGTAAATTACGGGGCCTAATAGGAAGGGACGAGGCTAAATTGCTCACGGGCCCAATAAACCCGGATGGAGGGAGTACATAATAACTATATCGGATGGAGGGAGTACATAATAACTATATACTCCCTCCTTCCATCTATATAGGGCCTAATGCGTTTTTCGAGGCTAATTTTGACCAAATATTAGAGTAATAATATATGACATGCAACTTACACAAAGCACACCGTTAAATTCGTGTGTGAAAGGAGTTTTCAATGATATAATTTTCACATTGTGCATGTCATGTATTATTAATCTTGTCAATAGTCAAATGCGGTCTTAAAAAATGCATTAGGCCCTATATAGATGGAAGGAGGGAGTACATGGAAAACTAAATGGTAACAGAATGTACACAAGCCAGAGTGAGAACTACCAAGTAATAATGCATATAACTCGATCAATTTATCATTTATGATGTCCTTATGCTTCCCCCTATATTAGCAATAATAAACTCCTTCAACTAATTGATATAAAATCAAAGAAATAATATGTCAATGCCAAGGTAGTAACTGTATCTTAACAAACCGAGTTAAGATGTATGAAAGATATTTACCTCTAGGACTGTCTGGAACAACTCTAGCAGAAGCCTTAAATATAACCTGTAATACCTCAGCCAATATCTGCTGTTTGTAAATTTTATCAGCTTTTATCTTAAGTTCTCTCTTTCGCTGTAATGTTTCTACCTCTAAATTATATTCCAGCTCGTCATACTTCCTTTTAGCTTGAGACAACTCTATTTCACGTGCCAAATTAAGCTGGTCTATCTGGCAAAACACAACCGGAGATTCATGAGTAATACCTAAATAGGGTGCAATCGTTGTGCACGTGCTTCTTGAAATAAGATAAAATACAAAAGTAGAAGAGGAATTCAAGAAAGAGACCTTCTCTTGATGCCTCTTTGTCATCAGATCAGCCAACTTTTGTAATCGACTCAACTCAATGGTAAATAGATTCAAGTCAAGCCCATCTTCAGCCAAAGATGGCCCAGGAGGGGAGCCTGTTGGCACCTGATTGTCTGAAGCTGGATGAACATGTGATGCCCCAGGACTGTGATTTGAATCAAGCCCATCTTCAGCCAAACGAGGCCCAGGAGTGGAGCCTGTTGGCACCTGATTAGCTGACGTTGGATGAACATGTGATGCCCCAACACTGTCAGCCTCAATTCTTGCTGAATGAGTATCCCTACAAGGTGGTTGATATGGAGGACTAGCAAACTGGCAAGTTGAACCGAAATGGTGATGGTTCATCACACTTTGGGTATTGAAGTGCATGTTTGGCTGCTCGGTAACTTGGGCAAAGGAAGGTACTTGACTACTAGGTACTTCCTCGCCGCTTATATCCTCGGCTTGAACCACTTGTCTACTGTCACCTGAAGGTGGAGGTGATCTTGCAGCTGGAGGTTCCTGCAGATAAACAATGCCAAATATGTCAATGGCAATTTATAAACGGCCACAAGTAAGGACGATGAGACACTATTAATAGTTCTTATAAGTTCACCTAGAGACCATTTTAAAAAATACAGCTAAAATGAGATGTAATCTGACAGTTCTTGTGAATGTATTTATAGCCTCCAATCATTGTTGAATTACTTGTAAATTTAATAATTTAACACTGGGCAGATGCTGTTAGGATACAAAACAAACAAGAAATTTATTGTTCACTGTTTATCTTTCCTAATGATAACTAGCTTCTTTTTGATAATTTTCAGTTTACTTATGTCCAACATAAGTTTTCCTGTTGTCGCAACCCAATCCATAAAAAAAACAATTGTTGAGACAACACTAAACTATAATTAAAAGACTGAACTAAAATACCTCTTGACGCAATGTTGTTCTGAAAAGGTTCGAGGTAGGCATTATCTCGGGCCTAGAACATGAACCTTCTGAAATATTATTGCCTGAATTTATGTGCTTTTGCTTTACATTAGAACCAGATGGAGCATTCTGTGAATCAATGTTCACTGTCATAGCCAGTTGCTTTTCATTAGAACCAGACACGGCATTTTCTGAATCAGTGTTCACTGTCATCGCAAGTTCTAGTGCCGTATCTGCGTCAGAATGAGAAGCACAAGATCTCTCCATGTCTCCCCCCTCATTTTGTGTTGCTGGTGATAAGGTGATTTGTGTCCCATCTTTTTCACCAGACTTTCTCCCTGGCCTGCAACATGAACCTTCTGAAATATCATCATTGCCTGAACCGATGCGCCTTCGTTTTTCTCTATAAATCGAGGCAGCATTTTCTGTACCATTGCTCGCTGCAATAGTAGGTTCTGATGCTAAACTCATGACAGACTGAGAACCACAGGGGCTCTCCATGGTTTCCCCCTCGTTTTGTGCTGCTATTGAGAAGACAATTTGCGTTGCTGGTGAGGAGATATGTGTCCCATCTTTTTCACCTAACTTTGTCCCTGATCTACATGGACCTTCTGAAATATCATTGCTAGAACACATGTGCCTTCGTTTTTCTCTAGAAATCGAGGCAGCATTTTCTGTATCAGTGCTCACTGCAATAGCAAGTCCTGATGCTGAACTCATGACAAACCGAGAAGCACAGGGGCTCTCCGTGTTTCGTCCCTCATTGCTGTCAGCTGCTGAGAAGATAATTTGGGTCCCATCTTTTTCACGAAACTCCATTCCTGACACACTGGTTACCTGCAAGGAGCTGCTTTCTAAGGTAGCCATTTCTTTTGATACACCAACTGAAAACCCGGGCTTTGTAGCTTCATTCGTTACAAGCAGCAATTGCGAGTGTTCTAGAGTAGGCTCACAATCATCACTTGCCTTACCTGTTGTCGGTGTCTTAGCAGGTTCTAGTGCTGCACTCACATCAAGCTGGCAAGCAGAGGGTCTCTCCACATCTCCTTCCTCGTTTTTATCTGCTGCCGGGAAGGTAGTTTGTGTCTGATTTTCATGACAAAACTCCATCGAGGGAGCACAGGTGTATTGTGAAGGCCTGCTTTCTAAGGTGGCCATTTCTTCTGCTATACCAACTGAAAACCCAAGCTTTGTATGTTCATTTGTTTCAAGCGATGATGGTGAATTTTCTAGATTGGGCACAGTAATATCAGTTGCAAAGGTGCCTCTAGGTTCTTTATTAGAGGCAATTGCTTCAATTTGAGTGGTTATAGATTGCATGTCAAAATATTTTAGATGCTGTTCACCATCTGAATAGTCAACTATACAGCTTTCTAGTTCCTCTGGCTTGAATTTAGAATATGGCAAGCTAGTCACATAAAACCATTTCTTAAGGTAGCCAGCTTTGGCCTCAAATATCCAGCGCTCTTTTATTCTGTTCTCTTTGTCCCTGTCACGTATAAGCTGTTTATAAAATTTTATTAGCTGAGATATCATATGTCGATGAAATCTGTAGCGCAACATGCTGGAATGTAGCTTAGGCAACATCATCCTGCAATATCTTATAGTTGGTGCAACATGTGCATAATGGAATTTATAAGAATTCACATGTTTTTGGAAGAATTCTATCTTCTTCTTTTTTTGCTCATTGTTGAATTTCTTCCGATCTACAGTCTGCCGTGACAGTAGTGTTTTGGACCTTTCTGAACAAACTTCCTCAATCATTTTCGTGGCCCAATGGGAATCAGAGTACCTAAAACATCCTTCCTTCCTTTTCTTATGCCTTTCTTTTGAACTACTATAGATAGATGGTGAATAGCTTCGACGGTGGTTCCCACATTTTCTATGCAAAGTTGACTGACTCACATTAACATATCGGCCCTCAGATGCAGCATACTTAGATTGTTGCACAACAGCAGTACATGCAGTCCCTCCAAGGCGAGAACCTCTTTCAGCTGAAGTTGATGACTCCTCTTCAACCACCACTTGAGAAGATGTGCTTAACTCTTTAAGACTTGCAGCCATGTTCTCGTGGATTGCACTACACTTACACTGCTGCACAAAATTAATACCTGCAATCCTTCCTTCACAGGAAGCTCTTTCAGGTGAAGTTGATGGCCTCATAAGGGCCTGCTCCTTTTCAATCGTATCTTGCACAAATGAGCGTACAATGCTTGGAAGCATGTGTTTGTGGATCACTCTATGTTGCAAAACCACAATACCTGCAGTATCTACATTATGAGAAGCTCTTTGCCGTGAAGCTGATTGCCTTATATGGACCTGCTCCTGTTCAGCATTTGCAGCTGTGCCATTCTGGATAGGGCTTTCTAATCCGGATGCCTCATCTGCCTCTCTGATCTCACCTTCTTCTAGTTCAGATTCATAATGTTCAATTTTTGCCACTCCAATCTTGCCAATCTCACAACTTTCGGATTCGAATGATCCCTTGCAAGCTTCGTTGTAATCCATAATACCTCAATTTAGTTGGGTGACTATCTGACTGAGGTGAAAATTTTATGCTGTTTGTAGAACAGAAAAAAACACTGGAACTTTCCTCACAGAGATGGTAATTCCACCTTAGCTAAGTTGATTCTCTTCTGTGCAACTGATTAAGGATCATTTCGTGATGCAAGCACCAGCTAACTGGCTCACATATGTGCTATGCGGAAGATCAAGCAGGCCTAAACAATGATAAGGATAGACATTTCAAGACCATGCATTTAAACACAGTGAAATTTGTATCATTGGTCAAGGAAGGATGCAAAATTCTTCTATATTTGTGTGACCAGGTGAGAAGAACTGCAAAAATGCCTCCAAATTCTCGGTTAAAGATCATGATACAGAAATTTCTTATGATACTTAATGAACATAGAAATAAATCAAAGTTCAAAGTTTTAACCAATTTCTTCAATAAAGTAATAGTTCCACATTTCAGGCGTAATTTATATTGAAAATATCTCTAATACTTCCATTGGCAGGTTGTTGGATTTGTGGGCCAACAGTCTAAGGAAAAATCTGATGGCATCTTCTACAATTTATTGCCCGCACTAAGTAATTTAAGTAATAGAAGGACTGACAAGGAAACACGGGTTGAGTGCACTACTCCCATATCATAGGCACTAACCATAACAAAATATTCATATTTTGATGCCTCTAGTTTGTTAAAATCAGGGAAAAAAGATCTCCTGTGTAGTACCTTGCAGCTACCAATTATAAATGCTATTCCACATTTAGGGCCACTTTTCCAACATGTTGCAAAGCGCAAAGAAATTGCCCGCTTCTACATTAATCACATCCTCGAATAGGTTCCCAATCTGACGAAGGAGCGCAGATTAGCTGTTCGTGTATAGCCGAACCGAACCTTCCCCATCGGTTGGTCAGCTGTGGAGACCTGGTTCGGCTAAATTGGTGCAACCCAAAAGGTTAAAAGGTGCACCTTCGCCAACTAAGAAGCGAATTCGATTAATACATCTTTACATGGCAAGCCTCATCAGTTCAACATGTACAACTGCTCTGTCAGTTTGGAGACAAATTGTTCAATGCAGTGTGTTTTGTCAGGAGGGTTTGTTATTGGTGTTAGGAGGTTTCTTGAATGGAGACATTGGTGAAAAGAACATTAAATGACGTACTCGCTGTCATAAAAGTGATCTTTGGGGGGACAAAAAGGAATATTTTGCGAAACAAAAAGGAATTTATTGATGAACAGCACTGTGGCACAAGCCACTTGATGCTTCTCATGTCAACTTGTGTCGTCACCTTAGGACACAGCCTCATGTCCTCATGGCGCACAGACCGTCGCGCCTTAGGACACAGCCTCATATTCGCATGTTATAAAATTGGTTTATTTATTTATTGTTTATTACAAGGCAGTAAGCGCCCTGACACGTAAGCGCCTAAGGGGACGTCTAAGCGCGTAGGCATAATTGTAAGGCACTGCCAGGGCGCCTTGCCACCTAAGCGTCCAAGGCGGGACGCCTTATAAACAATGATAAGCACCCCAGCACAAGTTGAATAAGACTTGAACCTGGGTGGTGGGGGTGTACATCCACACTTCCTACCAAGCAAGCTAGGCTCATTCGTATTAGACGTAATAAAGAATTGAAAGCACCTTTTTTGAAGAAGAAGCTGAATTCATCCGCAAAAAAAAAAAAAAAGAAGAAGCTGAATTGAAAGCACCTGCCAATAACAAGTACTCCCTCCGTCCCATAATATAAGAGCTTTTTTTGGCACGGAGGGAGTAGTTTCCAACAAACAGAGTTTTATTTTTTTACATTTTAACAACAGACAGAGTTAAATGTGACGTTAATGGCTAAATTGGTAACACGAATGTGAGAAGGAATTGAAGGGGGTGGTAAAACATGGCAACTTCTAAGGCAATCGGTGTTCGTACCTACATTAGATGCTCAAAATCGACTACCTCGAATTAAAAGGAAAATAAAATCCATACTGGAATCTAGAGGTGAGACCGAGAGTAATAAAAGGAAAACCGCTGAACTGAACGTCGCCCTCATCGAGAAGGCGCAACCGTCCGACTTGCATGCACAGTTGGGAATCTAATAACCGGGTCGCCTTCGAAGCCAACACAAGCAGGCAGCGACCCCGCTGCATGCCGGAATGGCGGACTCGATGGGCATGAACCTCGCCAAAACCTCTGGCCTGGACAAAACCCACCTCCCAAAGCCCCGAACCCACGGAGCGCGACCCTTTCCCCCCAAATCGGCAGCGATCCCGCCGTAACTCAAACGAAAATCGAACGTACGTTACGACAGACAATTAATCAGGTCGCGCAGGAAAAAAGAACATCAGTGGTTGAAGAGTAATGCTTACCCAACGACGGCCGGAATCGAGCGCTCCCCGGCGGCAGGCAGAGGAGACGGGGAATCGCCGCGGATGAAACGAGGGTTTTTGGGTTGGGGGACGGGGGATTGTGAGGGAGGACGGCGGTGGTTTGGGCTTGGGCGCGTGG